CTTCTGTCGCTTACGTGTCAATTTTATATCACTGTCTTGTCACTTACATGTCACTATGCTGTCACTTACATGTCACCTATGTGTTATTGTCTTGTCACTTACATGTGACTCTCCCCTCACTTACATATCACTCTCCTGTCACTTACATGTCACTCTCCCCTCACTTACATATCACTCTCCTGTCACTTACATGCCACTATCTGGTCACTTACACGTTACTCTCTTGTTACTATGCTGTCACTTACATGTCACTATCTTGTTACTTACATATCACTATCCCGTCCCTTACACGTCACATTGCTGTCACTTACATGTCACCATGCTATCACTTACATGTCACTTATGTGTCGATATCTTGTCACTTACATGTCACTTTCCTTTCACATGTTACGTTCCTTTCACTTACATGTCACTCACATATCATTCTCCTTTCACTTACATGTTACTTTTCACTCACATGTCACTATCTGTTCACTTACATACCACTATCTTGTTCACTTACATATCACTATCTTGTCACTTACATGACACTATGCTGTAACTTACATGTCACTTATATGTCACTCTCCTCTCACTTACATGTTACGCTCTTCTCACTTACATGTCACAATGCTGTCACTTACATGTCACTTATGTGTCAATATCTTGTCACTCACATATCACTTTCCTCTCACTTACATGTTACTCTCCTGTCACTTACATGTTACTCTTCACTTACATGTCACTTACATGTCACTATCCTCCCACTTACATACCACTATCGTGTCAATTACATACCACTATCCTCCCACTTACATACCACTATCCTCCCACTTACATACCACTATTCTCCCACTTACATACCACTATCCTCCCACTTACATACCACTATCCTCCCACTTACATACCACTATCGTGTCACTTACATACCACTATCTTGTCACTTACACACCACGATCCTCCCACTTACTTGTTACTCTCCTGTCACTTACATGACACTATGCTGTAACTTATATGTCACTTATATGTCACTCTCCTCTCACTTACATGCTACGCTCTTCTCACTTACATGTCACAATGATGTCACTTACATGTCACTTATGTGTCAATATCTTGTCACTTATATGTCACTCTCCTCTCACTTACATGTTACGCTCTTCTCACTATCTTGTCACTCACATATCACTTGCATGTCACTCACATATCACTTTCCTGTCACTTACATGTTACTCTTCACTTACATGTCACTTACATGTCACTCTCTTCTCATTTACATGTCACTATCTGTTCACTTACATACCACCATCTTGTCACTTACATACCACTATCTTGTCACTTACTTGTTACTCTCCTGTCACTTACATGACACTATTCTGTAACTTACATGTCACTTATATGTCACTCTCCTCTCACTTACATGTTACACTCTTCTCACTTACATGTCACAATGATGTCACTTACATGTCACTTATGTGTCACTATCTTGTTACTTATATGCCACTCTCTTCTCATTTACAAGTTACTTTCCTGCCACTTGCACATCACCATCCTATCTTCCCACTTACATTTTTATTATACTGTCACTTACATGTCACTTCCCTGTCACTTACATGCCACTCTACTGTCACTTACATGTCACTCTCTTGTCATTTACATGTCACTCTAAAGTCACTTACATGTCACTCTACTGTCATTTACATGTCACTCTCTTGTCATTTACATGTCACTCTCTTGTCATTTACATGTCACTATGCTGTCACTTACATATCATTGTCCTGCCTGTCCTGATGTCATTATAGTTGTAAATAAAGGACTGATATTCATGCATTTTTCTCACCTTTAAACATCGGACATATTTTCC